ATAAATTGAGACTGGCAGACCTTTTAAAGTGTGTAAATAAACTTATCAGCAGTCTTCTGTTGGTCCTAAAGATATGGATATTTTGCATATAATAGATTGCGGAATAAAATTTCCCTAATTTGCTTACATCAGTAGCTCATTGTCTGCTCATCAGCTGTAAATAAACATTTCATCTTCTGATCTTTGATTATCTCTGTCACTGCTCTTTGAGTGTGCACACAATAGAAGTAAATTTAAAAAAACCCTGATATTTTAATTTAAAAAGTGATAAAATAATCCTATTGGGCAACATATGTGTGTGTGTGTATATTTATACATATATAATAGCCATCAAAGAAAATGGAATAGAAGTGATAATAAAGACCTTTAAGATTCCACTAAAATATGCAGTGTTATTAAATGAATTAGTAGGGTATGGATATAATATATATATATATATATATATATATATATATATATATATATATATATATATATATATATATATATATATATATATATATATATATATATATACAGATCTATATATAATTTGCCAAACAGAGCGAACTCACAGGATTTGTATTCAATCGGTGCTGCTTTATTGGTACGTTATTCACAGAAACATAAGTCGACGTTTCAGTTCTAATCAGATGTTTTTTTTAAGACAATTTTTAAATTAAAAAAAAAAACATGCTTAAATAGGTGAGTGGACAGACAATCCGAGGATGAGTATGATGAGAGAGGCTAGTGATGTCAGGACAGTGCATAAAAAAAATTCCACCACTATATTTAAACCCGTGGAAGACTAAATAATAATAGGTGCCATTTTGTAAGTGTTAAGGGGTGATACAAACTTGTGGGAAAACGTATGTGCAATATATACAACTATATACAAAGAAATACAATGTTACTGGACATGGTTTATATATATATATATAAACCATGTCCAGTAACATTGTATTTCTTTTACAATTGTGTATGTGTGTGTGTATATAGTGTGTGTGTGTGTGTGTGTGTGTATGCATGAGTGGATTTACTTTTGAAAGTGATTATACAGTTTAAGAATCACAAGCTGGTTGAAGAACATAAATGATTGAATATTCTTTCAATAGTTTTCTGAAGTCCTAGAAGTAAATAATTAGAATATGTGATGCTCTGCGATGAAAGTGTACTTGATGACAGCGATACATACTTAGTGATTATAATTTATGGTATGACATCCTTGTTAGAGCAAGGGTCATTTCTGTCTCCCTACTAATAGACATATCTTATTGAACTTGAGTCTACTGCCAGGCTTAATAAATGTTGCTCTTCGGAAGCTGTTAAACTCCAAATCCTATAAATGAGCTTCTGAGGCTAGTAGAAGATTATGGGACTTGTAGCACAACCCATCATAGAACAACGCTGGCTATTGCAAGGAGAAGGTACATCACTGTTTGTACTATGAATGTATCAAAAGATCAGAGGAGGCCACATTTAGACTAATATTGACTGATGTGCCAATGTGTTGAGCCACTGCAGCCTATGAAATTCTATGCTGCTTAAATGCATCTCTGGCTTTTAATAGCATGGATCTGTGAGCCTCGCAGGAGTATTTAACAAACCTGGAAATCAATATGGATGGTTGTAATTGGGTCCAAAATTACTTTTGCTGTGACAATGCTGTATTTATGATTCTGGCTTTATAATCAAGGTGGATGCAGTCTGGAGCACTTGTAGTGGTTCAAGCATGCATACCGAGGCAATTTATTAAGCAGATGCAGGTTTATTTTCAAATTATTTTTAACGAGTTTTTAAGAAGTCTATCAGTTAGCAGTTGACAACCTAAATTAGGGAAAACAAGTATTTAACTGTTAAATACTGTTGGTCCGTCCAATAATGCTTTTAAAAGGAAAATAAAGTATTTTAAGTGCTAGTAAGGTTTTACTTAAATGTCTATTATTTAACCAAGATGTGGTGGCTACCTACTTACTAAAAAAAATCCAGTCTGCATTTATATCCAGAGACTTATTTCCCATACGCAGATTGTGTGGATGAAACTTTTTTTTTAAATACTACTTTCCAGTCTAGTCACTCATTCGCAAAAGTTCTGGTAGGCTTCCACCTACTAGTGGTTTTCCCACTTATTCCTCAAGCCGCAGAGCCTAGTATTTGCCATAAAAAACACACCAGATATTTATACTGCATTTGCCATGATAATCTCAACCTATTACTAACAGATTATCTATAAACTAACCTTATATTTTACTGTTGCTGTATTTCCATGATAAGATCCTATATTACTATGGATATTTTAAATACAGGTTTAAATGTTTGTCATATACCACACCACATTCTCCTTTTTTTTTTTTTTTTATGTATTTATTTGTGTGTCTGTGATAATTCTAAGTAAACTACTTGATTTTTTTTTTCTCTTTTGACACCCCAAAGAAAAGCTCGCGGTTGTGGAAATCTCTTTATATTGCTAATATAAGAGAAACTGTGATGACTTTTGGAATGATAGAAAAGGAAAGAGAATTCACAATTTTAGAAATATACCACCATCTTGGGGTTTAACAGTATGTTGTATAGACCAGACCAACGTCTAATGTATGTGCTTGTGTGTGTATCTATATACACAGCTGGCTTTAATTCTGCCCTACCACTTTCATGTATAAAAATAAACCCACATATTTATCCAATAAGCACAACTTGTCTTTCAAATAATGGTATTTTTTCCGTCATATTCACAAACAGTTCTGTTTTAATCAAACATCAATTGAACTAGCTTTTCAAACCCCATACTGATAAACAATAACTTTGACAAATGACACAATCGTCTTTGATGTTAATGTGAGATGTGAACAAATTCATCCCCCCCCTTCATTTATGTTTAAATGTTCTTTAATCATATGCCGATGAGCTAAGCATGTGCTATGTATAAGCTGTGTTCATCTTTTATGTAATAAATGCATATACATATAAAATTATGTGTTTTACTTTTTCCTGCCATTTTTTACAGATGTTTAGAAAGAGTAATTCCTACATTAAGCCATATAGTCTCAGACTAGTTTATTCTATGGATTTTGTACATTTATATTTTATAGAGCTATAGTATACAGTTCGCATTGCTCATGACCAAAATCTTGTATTTACATGACTGTTACTTATGCAACCGATACATTTCTCAACCAGCAGATCTGTAATTGATGAACTGCAATAATATTCAGTCTCCCAAGGATTACTGATTACATACCAGTGTTCCAATTCTTCTACACTACTAACAAGTAATTATGTTAACTTCATGTATTAAAAGGTTAACAAAGGGTTAGGAGGGTGTAACTTAGAAACTTTACAAAAGTGAGTTTCCTTAAAGAAAAATAAATACATTGCGAGTGATAGCATAAATGGGAAATATTTAATTTCAGACTTTCATTCAAACAAAATGAAGCATATTAACTCAATATCAAGGTACCATTTATACAACTTGAGGATGCACTGCCTGGGCCTCGCCTGCAGGCTGTTGGGTACCTTCCTCATGGTCCTCCTCTTCCTCACTCCGGCAGTTCAAAAGCCAGATGCTGTGACTCCACTCCTTTTGACACAGCCGGAGCGCCTACTTCAAAGACGTCATGGCTTGCCAAAATCCGAAAAACATTTTGGTAGCGTGGCTATCCAGTTTAAAGGCCATACTACAAATAGGTTTGCTAGGGGTTAGGTCCTTGCCCTATTGTGGTTCTATTTTGGTGCCTACCTCTCATTGTACTTCTGGATTTAATCTTGGCTATTACTGACTATTCTCCTATCTTTACTCCTTGACTCGGCTATTGCACCTTGCTATTCTTGATTTCTGGTTTCCCTAACTCTGGCTTATCCCTGACCATTCTATTTTTTTTTCTACATTAAGCCTGTCCACTCTAAGCTTGGTATACATTTATACTTTGGTTAATTATGTTGGGTCTCCCAGTTTTCCAGACACTCAACCTATTCATGATTGATTTTAGTTTATGAAATTAACAGAACAATTTTGACATCCTTCCCAGAAAGGTTTTTCAGAATATCTCTACAGGTTTTCAGTACAGCTATAAAGAAAACAAAGTTAGAAGTGTTATACCTGGAATGTAGGACACTGTCCTCTCACTTTAACTAGTGGCTCTACCCCTGTGATTACTCACAGGTCAGAGAGCATGGCAGCCATCATGAGTCACTGAGTGTGATGCAGTACTGCACAGAGGATGTTTTACTTCTGTGTTCCTGTCAGTTATAATAAGACTGATTATTCAGTATATGTTCAGCAATAAAGCAAGGTTGTGTCAAACCACTGGTCTCATGTGAAGCAGTCAGGGCCATAACAGTGGCCACAAGGATGGGATGTTCAAAGGCCCTACCAAGCCTGCGCTAGAAAATAAGAGGTAATCTCACTACACACAGCCAGCAACAGAGCATCCAGCCAGGACATGGCACTGATAGGCACATAGCGTGAGTTTGATGGGGAGTAGAACTCCTGGAGTGAAAGATTAGAACATTTCTTCAGTGCAAACACCATACCCCCTGAACGGCAGGTAGCTGTATTCCTGACAATGGTGGGAGCTAAAACATATGACTCTGTAAGATACCTTCTGTTCCCTGATAAACCAGCAAGCAAAACACTGGTGGAACTGCTAAAACTATTAGAGGATCATTTCCAGCCCAAAACACTGGACATTGCAGAAGGATTCTGCTTTTACCAACGGCAGCAGCAATCAGGGGAGGATATTAAAGAATATGTGGTGGCCATTCGCAAACTGGAGTACCTACCCACAGCTCTGTGGGACAAGTTTGTGCTAGGACTGAATAGTGAAACCATTCAAAAGAAACTTCTGACAGAGCAGACACTCACCCTTACACGGGCGATTGAGATTGCATCTGTCATGGAAATGGCTGTGAGGGATACTGCGGCATTGAACGCTCAGTTTTACAAAAAAGGGGTAAAAGAGGAGGTCTTCATAGCAGCAGTCACACCAGCTACGGCAAACTGCAAATATGGATTCTCACCCTAGCCCAAGCCAGCTTGCTACCAGTGTGGCAATACAGACCATGACTCCAAAACATGTCGATTTAAAGACCAACCTTGTCATCACTGCGGAAAAATGGGCCACCTCAGATGGGTCTGTCGTAGTAGGAATGTACGGGAAAAACAACCGCAGTACACCAAGAAGAAAACATACAGGGTAGATAAACCTACCTCTTCATCTGAGTCAGACAATGATGAACCATTGCACAGATTAACTATACATCGACTACACTCTTCAAACCCTGCAATGATGGTAGAAGTAACCATTAAAGGAAAGGCATTAAAGATGGATGTTGATACAGGAGTGGCAGTTTCAGTTATCACACAGAAACACTGGAGACAACTACATGTATAGGCAACTATCCGCCCAACCCCAATCAAGCTGCAGACTTATTCCATGCAAGTCCTCCATGCAGTTGGTTGTGCAAAGATACGGGTATCATACACTGGTCAAACAAAGAGACTACCGATATATATTTTAAAACACAGAGGACCACCTCTCTTTGGCAGAGACTGGATTGCTCATCTGGGAATGCCAGACATCATCAAGAACCCTTGCAACAACCTTACAGTCCCATCTGGACAAATTGATGGGTGGGTGGAATCCTTGAAACAGAGCTTTCCTGAGGTTTTTAAGGATCAACTGGTGAAAATTTTAAATGACTGTGTGAAGCTTACGCTAAAACCGGATGCCCATCCTAGATTCTTTAAGACTTGGACAGTACTATTTGCCCTTCGAGCAGGAGTGAAAGCTGAACTCCTCCGGCTAGAAGAACAGGGTGTCATTTCCAAGGTAGAACACAGTCAGTGGTCTTACGTGCTCCCAACTTGCGCCGTTACAGTCCATAATGAATGCGGCAGCAAGGCTCATCTTCCTGTCCACCCGCATGCACCTCCCATGCCTCACCCTTCTGTCAGTCCCTACATTGGCTTCCTATAAAATATAGAGCTCAATTTGAAATTCTGGTTCTTGCTTTCCAATCTCTACATAATGCTGCTCCCACCTATCTATCCTCCCTTATACACAAGTATGTCCAGTCTAGGCTCTTAGGATCTGCTAAAGACTTACGTCTATCTTCTGTCCGACTCCCACCTCTGGTGCTCACCTTCAAGATTTCTCAAGGGCTGCACCGTTCCTGTGGAACTCGCTTCCCTTCTCTGTTAGATGCTTACCCAATCTCCACTCCTTCCAAAAATCGTTAAAAACCCACTTCTTCATAAAAACGTATTAATTAAACTGTTAATAGCTCCTGGCTGATTCCTCTTCTGCAACTGTCACTAGTCTAATACTATCCTTACCGTTTTGTGTCATTTTACCCCACTCCCTCTAGCATGTAAGCTCATTGAGTAGGGCCGTCAACCCCTCTGTTCCTGTGTGTCCAACTTGTCTGGTTACAACTACATGTCTGTTCATCCACCCATTGTAAAGCATTGCGGAATTTGATGGCGCTATATAAATATCATAATAATAATAATAATGGGCATCACTAAAGAAATCAAATAAGGAATTCCACATCTGTGGGGATTTCCACATGATACTGAATACTCAACTGGATGCAGATCAGTATCCTCTACACAGATTAGATGACCTCTTCGCCTCACTTGCTGAGGGACAGAAGTTCACTAAGATTGATCACCGACAAGCCTACCTACAGTTTGAGAGCCACCTTTCTTCACGAAAATACCTCACCGTTAATACTCTCAAGGGCTTGTTCGAATAGAACCGGATGGTATTTGACATAGCACCTGCACCCGACATCTGGCAGAGGAAGATGGATGCAATCTTAGCAGACATTCCTTTCACACAGTGTCTATTAGATGACATGTTCATTACGGATGGACCAAGAACACAAACAGAATGTAGAGCAGGTTTTACAAAGACTTCAGGACCATGGTCTCAATGTGAACTGGGCAAAATGCTAATTTATGCTGCCCAAATTGGAGTTTTGCAGCCACCTGGTAGATGCTGAGGGCATACACACCACTGAAGCCAAGGTTGATGCTCTAGTCAAAGTGCCAGCCCCAACAAATGTCCAGAAACTATGATCGTAGCATGGCCACCTCCACTACTATAATAAACCTTGTTCCCACTGCATAAGCTTTTAGAGAAACACTCCAGATGGGAGTGGTCAGCAAAATGCCAACAAGCTTTTGAGGTCTCCAAACATAAACTATTGGGCTCACTTATGCTTGTACACTACGACCTCCACAAGCCTCTCACATTTGGCTTGCGACACCTCGCCTTATGGTCTGGGTGCTGTACTTTCCCACCTCCTACCAGATGGTTCTGAGAAACCAGTGGCTTTCGCCTCGAGATCATTGACAAAGACAGAAAGCAACTACTCCCAGATTGCTAAAGAGGCACTTGCATTGATATGGGGAATTCGGAAGTTTCGCCTTGACCTCTATGGTAGAGAGTTCACCATATTAACAGATCATAAACCTCTACTTCCGATATTTAGTCCAGACAAAGGAATCTCCCAGACAACTGCAGCCCGTCTATAATGCTATGCACTGTTCTTGGGTGCATATATACCGTACACAATATCGAAGTCATGATGCTAATGCCAATGCCGATTCAATGTCCCAGCTGAAAGAATTGCTTCCAGATTCTTCTCCAGCTGTCAAGACTTGTAGGTACACCACCACACACCTACTGACTTCTGGAGAGAGAGCCCATATGGTGAAGGATAATGTTCTGAAATCTGTGCTTTCGTTTACACAAACTGGCTGGCCAGCAACTATTACAGAAGATTACGAACCTTACTACCGGAAGCGAATGGAATTGGCTGTGAATGACAATTGTGTCTTATGGGGGAGAGCAAGTTATCATTCCAAAAACCCTTCAGAGACATATCTTGGACTTGCTACATACTGGTCACCCTGGTACCACACAGATGAAACAAAGCACGAGGCTACGTATGGTGGCCTAACATAGATGGTGAGATAACAGCATATGTCAATGCTTGTATAAGATGTGCACAAACTGCAAGAGACCCTCCCCAAGAAAGTATTCAGACCTGGACATGGCCCACGGTTTCGTCTTCGCCTTCACTTTTTGCAGGTCCGAAAAAAGGGCAAAAAGGGCAAACCTGCCCACTTGAAATCGCCTTAGGCCTTTCCAATAACCCAGCTGACTGCAAAAGTCACGATTGCCATATTATTGCACCTTTTTGCCACATTTGGTTATCCCAGGGAGATTGTCACAGATAATGGGACCCAGTTCACAAGCCATGAATTTCAGAGTTTTGCTACTGGTACAACACCAGCTTAGCTTCTTCTAGGCCAACGGCCATGGACTGCTTTTGACATGCTTTGTCCTAAAACTGTTCATGACCATGCAGTGCACTCCCAAGAAAAGACGGTAACCTCCAAAGAGTCTCCCACTTTTAGAGCAACATGTCGACCATTTACAGTTCCTGTTGCTGGTTACCCGAATCCTTTACCCAAAACTTCCTACGTCCAAATCCAGTGAGACAGAGGACATCTGGAATGGAGTTTGGATTGACTCTCAAAATTTGAATGCACCTACAGGGGAGGCCTGTGCTTCTTGGTCTGAGGGTTCTCATGACCCTGATCCCATTTTCCCATCCTTGAACCAAGCACCTTTTTCCTGTCCTGCTACCTCTGACACCTTGAGACTGATTATACAGTAAATGTTAAGCAATAAAGCAAGGTTGTATCAAACCACTTGTCTCATATGTGAAGCAGTCAGGACCATAACAAGAAGGAACTTTGGTTTTGGTGACATGATCATCTGGAACTACGGCAAACATATCAGCAATCAGACAATTGTGTCTCGCAAGGTACATAATCCAAGCAAATCACACAATTAGGTTATATGCTAAAGTATTAATGACCCCTGTCCAGATATGCAGGAACATTCGGACCTCAAAATCCAAAATTGTTCAGGAGACTTCTCAATGTCTAGGTTTTACAAAGCAGCCTCTGTATTTCTTTAGTTGTGTCTGCAATCTAGCCTAGATTCAAACTGCTGAATTCCATAGTTGTCACATGGAAATGCACACCTAGATTCTAAGATTCAACTGAATTGGCTTCTATTTTTCATAAAATTTGATTCAACTGAATTTACACAATTTTTGGTGCAACTAAATTTGCATTCAGATAGTGGTGAATACAAATACAAACTACTATATTGCAAAAATCGATTCTTGGCATCATTAAAATAACTCACTACAGGGAAAGTTATTCTATAAATGGGTACATTATACATAAAAAATTACAACATATATTTTGGGATATAAAATGCAACTGATTTGGTTATTAAATATTATGTATTTAAATATTTTTTGTGGAATGTTATCCCTTTTGCAAGATGGCTCTTTGCTGGCAGTAGGAAGAAAATTATATCTTTAAGTTTGATTGCAAAAAGCTGGTGAATTTATTTCTAAAATGTGCCTCCTACTAGATTTGAATGAATTTTGGTGTTTGATAAGTATTACAAATCCTATAATAGGACATAGTTTGCATGTGAGAATTACTCATCTTAAAGCAAACAATTTCAGCCAAACATCTGGTACTTTGGTTTAAAACATTTCCATTGGATTTGCCTTTAGTAATTATGAGAATTGAAATCCTGGTTGGAAGTCTGTTATTTTATCTGAATTATATATGTCCAGACAGAATTTGGACTTTAGTGAATAACCCATAAGGTTTTTTAGCTATTCTTCCTTTGAGGCTTATATGTGTTAATTTCTCAAGCATGCATTATCCCCAATGACTGAGAATATTTTAAACTATTTGTTTGGAATAATCACTGCATGTTATGGCTTTAGATACTGATAAACTTACCCTGTTCCAAGTATGTATAATAAGGCAAATACCTAGATAAGTGAGCAAGCATCATACAGAGATGCACCCCCTCCAATAATAGTAGTAATGTGGGGATATGAGTATATAAAATGATTTGGAATGTAAAAGTATCTTTTGTATCTAAATTCTGAATGTCTGGAAGACTTCACATAA